TAACCTAGTAGCAATGCGTCTTATACTAGGTTATATAAGTTTTTAATATCTATTTTATCTTAAGTAGAGAATATAATCTACCTACTAGATATCTTGTTAAAGGTTTTCTTATCTATTACTCTCCTTTCTATAGAAGTAAAACCTATAATAGCCTCTTCCTATTATAATAGGTATCTTAATTATAATTATAGAAATATCTACTTAAGACGCTAAAGTGTACTCTATAACTTCCTTATCTACCTTATTTCTTATAAGTTATATATAGCTACTTTGGCTTATAAGGTTAGTAAATCCTAACTATAATAAAGGATTACTTATACTTAAACTTAAGCTACCTTCTAAAGCGTTTCTTAAAACTACTTATAACAGTGTTTTAAGTATATATCTAGAACTATTAAGTAAAGAAGTTATTTAAATTCTAGAATCTATTAACTATAGCAAGAGAAGTAAACCTACTTTAGGCCTTCTATACTTAGATTAAATATTAGCTTTATACAGCCTTTCTAAGTATAATTATCCTATTTAATAAAGGTTAATTTAGAATATTTTTATTAAGTATATTTTATCTAATAGATACTATAATTACAGAGGTACTACTTAACTCTATTATAGCAGAGTATTTTAAGTTCTTATTTTACTTCTTCTAATAGTTTTACAGTAGCCTAGAATTATATATTATAATTACGTTGTTAACTCTTTATTAAGCTAATATATTTACCCTAAAGAGACTAGAGAATATTAAAAATAAAGTAGTTATACTCTTATATAATAAGCTGTAATAGAACAACATAGGTAATCTGCTAGGTATAATCCTTAAAGGTAAACATCTCCTAAGAAGTAGAGTACAGGTTAACGCAGTTATAATAGGACAGCCTACTATTTTAATATATATACTTTTTCTTATATACCTTTACAGAAGATCTTGTATTCTTCTATATAAATATAAAGATAAGATCTTAAAACCTTCTATCCTAAGTTTTCTAGATAGATATATTAGACTTAAGTATATTTACTCTAAGTATATTAAAGTAAATATCTAAGTAGGGATATTTCTTAAATTAGAAAAGAGGAACCTTATAGTTTTAGTGTAGTAGGTAATAAGGTATTTAGATTATTCTATATACCTTAACTAAGTTTTTATACTCTAGTCCTTACTATAGCTGTAGCCTTTAGGTTCTAGTCTAACTATAAAGAGGTTATCTCTAGTTCTTAAAATAGTAACCTCTTAACTAATATTTCCTATACTAAAGTAAAGATAGTACTTAAGGATTAAGGTATCTAAGTAACAGCTAAAGTGTCTAGCTTAATACTATAGATAATAGACTATTAAGTTCTTAGTTATTTACTAAATTATACTTCTTTATATAAGAATTATATATTAAAGCCTAAATAACTTTCTCTATATAAGTAACCTATTAATTACACTTAGTAATACAGAACTAATTTACTTTAGATATAGAGAGTAACTAGAAGGGGTAATATAAATTTAAGCTATAAGTATATAGTCTAGAAGACTATAATAGGTTACTTAGAAGTTAATTAAAAAGCTATAATATAATTTAAAATTCCTATTAATTACTATAAGATACCTAATCTTTAAGGGTATCTGCTAGAGTATTATAGATTTATATCTTGGTTTTCTCCTACTGCTTTATAAGGGTATTTCTAGTAAATATAGATAAGAGGCTACTATGTAATAGATCGAGGGCTTAAACTACGGCTAGCTAGCAATTACGTAATTACTAGGCTAGCGCGCTTAGCTAGCAATCCTGCTAGTAGCTACCTAGTAGCCCTACAGTTACTTGCCAACGCAGTATCTTACTTATTAGAGAAATTTAACCAATTATCCCATCTTTCTTGTGCGACCTGTGTTAGCTCCTTTACACTATACTGCATTCTTCTCTTATACCCAGGGTACGCTGCGTTAGGCCTGCTGCCGCAGGATTTCTGTCACCCTACTATACCCAACTTAGAAGCTGTTAGTAATTACACACACGCCAGTAGAGGCTCTGTTATACGCCTGCGGAGTAGAACTTCATTACGCTGCCAATCTAAGCTTACGCAGAATTACTGTTAATAGCAAGGACGTTAAGCAGTACTTCGCTAAAAGCTTAGCGTACAAAACTTCAACATTAGGCCAGTTAACAGATTGGCTTAAGGAGGCCCCCGCTGACAAGGAACTTAAACTGCTAATAGAGGGAGGCCTGCCTATAACAGGGCAAGACGTAGACGCAGTAGACTTATAATTAGCGAAGTTCGTAGACACTAGTGCTTACAGACCTACGCAATTAAATCCTCAGCTCGCATAAACCCTTCTCCGCAATAATAAACAGAGGCACCACCTAAGATTCTACCTAAACTATAGCGGCCAGCAGCTAATCAGTACGCTACCTAGAACTCCCAGCACTGCGCTACTTATCCTTGCGCTGCGCCAGCACCTTTCTAGATGCTTACCCTGCCCTACTGCTAACAGAAGTAACAGGCAGCAGTCTAACCTAAGAGCCCATAACCCCTTATAACAGACGCGTAGACTACGCTGTTAACCTTGGTAACAATTAATTCAAGACAGCTAGTAACAGTTACGTACACTACATCTAAGTTACAAACTACAACAACAATAATTGTTAATTCAAAATCAAATAAGGCACAGATCCTGCAGACTCCTACACTACTATAAGGGTAGGCCAGGACTGCACTGTTAGCAAACAAACATCTCAGCTTACTACCGCTAAGATTACTAATGTAACCAACTTCCGCAAGGCTGTTATTAACAAGCCTAAAGACTAGTACACTCTTCTTACCAATCTTATAATCTCCCTGCGCAATTATACTTCAGCTATAGACAAGTAACTAGATAACAAGCTAAGCCTAGAGGAGAAGCTTAAGCAAGTATTGCAACAGACTAATAATAAGAACACTGTCCCCTACAAAGACTATAAGAAGACGCTTTATAAACTCTAACAAGCCAAAGCCCAAGTTAAACAACTTACTCAAAAAACAGGCGTTAACAGTAACTTACACACCAAAGTAACCAATAAGCTTACCTATCTCAAAGCAAAGCTTACTACAACTAAGGAAGAGCTTAGCAAAATTACTATTAACCTTACTAGTAAACAAGCTAACGCTGACTACTACTATTACAAGTACAAGAAGCAACAGGGAGACGCCCAAAAGCTGTACAACAAAGTAATTAACAAGACTTAGATTATAGCCACCTACAAGGATAACCTTATAAAAGCTTATCAAGCAATAGATACAGCTAACATCTGCGTTAATAAACTGGCAGCTGAACTGAAAACCGCAACCAACCAAGTCTGTTAACACAAGCTGAGCTACGGAAGGAATGGAAAACAGACAAGTATCCTTTAGTTATGATCGCGATTACGCTCACGTTCCCAACTACAGATGCGTTGCGATACCTCCCCTCTTAAACCATCAGGACAACGCCACTGCACCCCTACTCCTGAGCAATCCCGTTCACGAGACCGAACACGCCGCTACTACACTACAGGCACCAACCGTTCCTACTATGCTGAACCTATAACCCACGATCGCAGGCTATAAGACTATCTACTATTACAAACCCCAGCCCTAACACCTTTATACTCTGCCCCAGCAGAAGAAGTGTACCGGCCCAAACTTCCCAAACTAGATAAGTTTTACAGCAAGGACAACAAGGACTATAAGAAGTGGCGACGCTTTGCTATTACCAAGTGCGAATCCTTCCCAGAAGAACCGCAACAGATCGCATATCTAGAGACTTAGGTGCAGGGAGCCGCCTAGAAACTCATTAATTACATGAAACCTTAGCACTACCTTAATCTCCTTAAAGAACTTAACAAGTTCTATAGCAATAACACCTTTAAAAAGATCGCAGAAGTAGAAGCCAAACTTATTAACAGCAGCCTGTAACAGAAGTACAGCAAAGGGTTCCGAGAATAGTAAGTACACTTTATAGCGGTGCGTAACATTATTAAACACCCCAACTCTATTATAATCTTGTATGCCTGCCAGTTCCTTAACAAAGAACTAGCCAAGAGCGCTTCTGTTAAATCCAAAGGCAGCAAGCTGCTAGCCTTATTCCTGCGTTATGCACACAGCATCTCTATTACTAATACTGAGATTAATTCACAACATACCTCTAGACCTACAACTGGTATAGGCGCTGCTGCGCAAGACAGCTGTAAGTTAGACAACTGCACGTTATTACGCAAACAGGAGCAGCGCGTTACCCAAGGCCGCTCCCAAGAAGAGCGCAACTGACTGGCTAAGCTTCGCAAATGCTTCTATTGCGGTAAAGACAGACACCAAGCCCGTAGTCACAACGCACCTTACAAGAACAAACCATTCACTCCATTAAGCGAAATCCCCTGCCTTAACGCTATGGCAGCGATTAAAGAGTTTAACGAATCCAATAACAAAGAGTACACCAACGCCAACAACAAGGCTGCAGAGAGCAAGCTTATTAACGAGGATAGATACCTAGTAGAAGAGGATTTTTAGATGCTTCTGCAAATAATCGCTTACAGGAGCACAACTAGCGTAAAGCTTATTACTAAACCAGACGCGTTGCTGCACACTATTACTGTCTTAAACAAGCCGTATATAAACTTCTTACTGTTACCAGAGCTACTCTCTCTTTAACACCCCAACATTACATCTCTACTGTTTCCGTAGACTACGAACCTCAGCTGAATGTTGCCAAACAACTCAAGTTCCCTACCTCTACAAAGACCCTAAACAGCGGATAGAGTAGGATAAGATGTCTAATAGACTCAGGAGCAAGCGTATGCTTTGTTAGCCAACAGTGGGCGAAGCAATGTAGACTTACTATATACTGCACCTCTGACCCAATTAAACTCCAACTAGCAGACAGTAGGTTAGTTAGCACCCTTACACAAGCCGTTAACCTGCCTATAAGGCACGGAACTTACACCAGCACTACCCTCTGCTATGTTACCAACATTGGCAAATACGACATTATACTCAGTATGAATTAGATGGATTTTTACTACCCCACCATCCAGTTTGGCCGAACTCGCACTCTTACATTCAATTCTACGCAATACAAACTCAACTGCCTGCTCCAAGGCATCCCTGAAACTATCTACAACGATGGTACACTACCTGCCAGCGTTACCCGCCGCGAACTCCCTAGCAGAAGCATATGCTTAATTACTGCCCACGCTGCTATACAAACTGCGGCAAAACACCCCAAACAAGTTGTGTGGATTCAGCCAAGCGACTGGGACAAACTGCAACAACTACCAGCCCAAGATTGCAACACAGACACGTTCCGCAAATGCGTTGTAGGCTCTACCACAGCTAGTCTCGCCGCAATCTCGCAAGACGATTTCAATTAATATATAGAACAAATAGAGCAGCTGCCCATAAGTTCTGAGGAACTTAAGACACTCATCCCTCAATTCATACAGGATGCGGGGCTCTTAGACCTCTTCAACCTACAACTTGCTAACCAGCTCCCCCTGCGTTGCGACGGAGTTAACTACGCAATAACACTCAACCCAGGTACAGGCATACCAAAGCCCCGCATTTACGGGCTAAGCCGCAAGGAAACCAAAGCCGTCAAAGCGTACATTAACAATATAATAGGGAAAGGCTTTATTAGGCCTAGCACATTACCTTATACAGTACCTGTACTAGTAGTAAAGAAGCCTGGCAGGGGACTGCGGATCTGTGTAGACTATTGCCAACTCAACAGTCTTACAAAGAAGAACCGCAACGCGCCTCTGTTAATTAAGGAGACAATAGCACGTATAGCAAAGGTAAGGATTATAAGTCTAGTAGACGTTATTGCTGCATTCAACACAGTCTGCGTCAAAGACAGCAATAAGGAAAAGACAGCCTTCCTAACCCGCTACGGACTCTACGAATACCTGGTCATGCTATTTAGACTGTGCAACGCCCCAGGTACGTTCTAAACATTTATTAATAAAACGCTACAAGACTACCTAGATAACTTCTGCACTGCCTATCTTAATAACGTCCTTATCTTTAGCGAAACAGAAGAGGGATACGAAGCGCAAGTACTCAAAGTCCTATATTGGCTCAAAGCGGCTGGGCTATATCTAGACCCACAAAAAAGCAAGTTCAAGACAAAACAGGTTAAGTACCTAGGCCTTATACTTACTACTAACGGTATTGAGATGGACCCAGCCAAGATTACTACAGTGCTACAATAGCAGCTGCCTCAAACGGTACACAGCGTACAGGCATTCTTGGGATTTGCGAACTTTTACAGACAATTTATCAAGGGCTTCTCAACCCTTGCAAGACCGCTTACTGAGCTAACTAAAGACGGAGCAAAGTTTCCTATGAGCAACACCGCAACTACTGCTTTCAAAGAACTTAAGTTAGCGTTTACTAAAGCGGGTATACTGGCTTACTTTAATCCCAACCTGGAAACATAGCTTAAGACTAACGCCTTAGACTTCGTGACAGCTGCGATCCTATCCCAAAAAGACGCTGAGGGTACGCTGCGCCTAGTTGCGTTTCTTTCAAGGAAGATAACCCCCGCAGAATGCAACTATAAAATATACAACAAAGAACTCCTAGCAATAGTCCAAGCGTTTAAGGAATAGCGCTTTGAGCTTACGGGTGCTAATAAGCTGGTACATGTTCTCTTAGACTACTAAGCCCTACAAACCTTTATAGTAAATAAGCGTCTCAACTAGCGTTAAGCCCGCTGGGCCAAATTCCTGTCTAAGTTTAACTTCAAAATTACTTACTGCCTGGGAAAGCAAGGCACTAAGCCTAACGCGTTTACACAACGCCCACAAGACCTGCCAAGCAACGCCACAGACCCGCGCCAACAACACCAATAGCAAACGGTTATTAAACCCAACTAGGTTGATCCAAACGCATACGTCGCGTTACTTATATGTATACACAATACTGGCGCACAATATACTACACAGATAGCTAAGCGTATTAATAATAACGCAACTATCGCAGTCGCAGAGGCCGCCTTAGCAATGTACGCTATAAGCGAAACTGATAATTGCAGTAAAGCCACCGCACTCAGCGAACTTACGCTCCCCACGCTAACTACTACGGAGTTACTGAATAACCCTCTTACACGAAACGATACCCCGCTCAATAACCTGCTTGTACTCATCCAACAAACTGCGCCAGATAACACAACCCTGCAGGCAATCCTTACAGCCAAGGAGGGGGGGATGAGACGAGTCCTACACAAACTTATACACAGAGCATAATAACTCTGCTTAGAATTAGGAGATTGTGCTGTCAAGGACGGACTACTATACGTTAGAGGTAAGGTATACGTACCTAAGGAAGTACGAACAAGGGTGCTCAAAGACATTTATTGGGCTCTCTGCAGCGGCTATAGAGGCAAGTACAATACGTACGGCAAGCTAACAAGGTAGTACTATTAGCTAAAGATAACAGCAGATGTAGCCTAATACATCTAAGCATGTCTAACATGCCGAAGAGTAAAGCCCTACCGCAACAGCAAACACAGACTTTTTAGGCCTCTACCCATCCCAGACCAATACTGGACAGATATCTCTATAGACTATATTACCTACTTACCAGCATGCACTGACAATAGGAGGACCTACAAGAACATACTCGTTGTCGTAGACAGGCTTAGTAAAAAGAAGAAGTTTATCCCAGTCGTAGACCTACGCGTTAACACGCTAGTCTGCGCTTTTGTTAAGTTTATCTAGAGAGAGGAAGGTTACCCAATAATAATTATGTTAGACTACGGCGCTTAGTTTGTGTCCCATTTCTAGACCAGGCTTTGCTAACGTTTAGGAACTAGGCCTAAACTATTAACATTGTTCTACCCAGAAACCAATAGCTAGACAGAAAACGCTAACGTATATCTTAAACAATACCTGCGTGCCTACGTTAACTACAAACAGGACAATTAGGCCCTCTTCTTACTAATAGCAGAATTCAAAGCTAACGCATTAGTTAGTTAGAGTACCGGCGTCTCACCGTTTGAAGCCACTAAGGGTTACCTACCCCGCTGCGGGCTGGAACCTGCATTACCATCAACAGATAACCTTATATTCACTGTGCCCGCAAGACGAGATCGAGTAGACGCTAACAAGTTCGCAAATAAGCTCAATAAGCTTAGACAACAACTACGCCTCTAACTCAAATAGGCACAAGCCAAATAAGCTGAATACGCGAACTAGTTATATCTACCAGCCCCAGAATTGTGCGTTAGCGACAAAGTCATAATTAACTTCAGGAACGTTTGCACAAAACAACCCAACTAATTGCTTAACTACAAGAACTAAGGGCCGTTCACCATTACTAGGGTTATTAACAACGCCGCTTACAAGGTATATCTACTACAGGACCTGCGTATTTACAACGTCTTCTACCTATAGCTGCTCTACCTCGTTACTAACGATCCCCTACTAGGACAAGTTTAAGATAACGAAGGACCACTGGAGCTGGCGGACCCCAACGCCAATGACGACACTAACTACGTAGTTAAAGCCGTTAAAAACTCCCAACTTAACAAACGCCTCAAGGACCCAGCTACTGGAAAAAATGGACTCCTGTAATACAACATAAGATAGGCAAACTACCCAGAAGGACTAGACAACCCATTATAGGAACTATACACAAACGTTATAGACTTGGCGGAACTTATCTCTAACTACTACAAGCGACACACAACAAAACCCAGGCCCTACGCAACGTTCAAAACGCTAACAGACAAGCAGAGCCTACTAGTATTAATTACGCTTGCGCGCCCAGCTCGCAACAGCAACGCTAACAGTCCCTAGGTAAGCTCTTACGTTACACCTCAGCAACTAAGTCAAACAATCAAGAAGGGAGCTGCTACCTGTTGTCTTAATACGCTAAGCTGACGTGATGCCCTGACGCGCGCAGCATGTCATCCAGCAGGGCCCTGTAGCACCAACAACGACTGCGACAACGTTAACGCGGGCGAACCGCCGGTTAAGCTAGTCGGCTAAGGTGCAACTAACAGGGACTGTAGTTTAGTTACGCCAGTTGGTTTGCGCTTCAGCTAACAGGGACTAGACAGCAAAGCTGCTAACACACTAAGTATAAGTTAAAGGAGCTAGTCTAAAGCGTCGCAAACAAAGCCTCTACTGGGAGCCACAACACCAAAAACAATAGCAATTATAGATAGAAGAAAGGACACACAGTGTATAGCCCAACAGGAATACACATGGAATTTACAGTACTATGGAGGCCGCTGTTTACGTACATAACGTTACGGCCAGGTAATTTAAATTGTTTTTAACTATATTGGGTTAACAATAAAAGGTTTTTACAAGCACAGGAGCTGCTCTTTTTGAGGGGGGGGTAATGTGATAGATCAAGGGCTTAAACTACAGCTAGCCAGTGATTACGTAATCGCTGGGCTAGCGCGCTCAGCTAGCGATCCTGCTAGTAGCTACCTAGCAGCCCTGCAGTTGCTCGCTAACGCAGTATCTTACTTATTAGAGGAATTCAACTAATCATCCCATCTTTCTTGTGCAACCCGTGTTAGCTCCTTTACAACTATTCTTTACCCTAACTGTCTAAAGATCTAATTATACTTTAGAGTAAGTAAGTACCTTAAATAGTTTATCTAAAAAAGGCTTATATCCTTTTAAAGTAGTATAAAACTATTCTTTAAGGATATTATAGGCTTTATTATACGTAATACTAGCTTCCTAAAGTTTATTTCTAGATTATAATTTAGTTATTATAGAACTACCCTCTATACTAGCCTAGAAGAATAATATAACCTTTATACGCTAGTAACTAGATAGGTAAAAAAAGGTACTTACCTAATACTAATTATAAGAAGACTTTTAGATATAAGTTATTCTAGACTAAGAAGACTAAATCTTTTAGCTAATATTAAGCTAGAATAAGTACTTAGATAGGTATTAAGAGTCCTAACGTAGATTAAAGTTACGTAAAAAGGCTAAATATATATCTATAAACTATTTATAGTTCTAACTAAGAGATATAAGCTTTATATTATAACTAGATACTATAAGAGTTAGCTAAGAGAAGGTATTAATAGAGTAATAAGTTCCTAGTATATTTACTACTAAATAAAGTATTTAAGCCTATAAAGGACTAAGTATTACTGTAGGTACTAGTAATTAAATATCTATTTAACTATAATTACCTAAATAAAAGGCCTTACCCTTAATATTATCTTTACTAAGGATGTTTATAAAGCTTTTTAAGTAATACTTATAGTTAGAGCCCCTAAGAACATAGTTAAAAGCTTATAGGATAATATAATCTATCTAGATACTAAGAGTATAATTATCTAGGTATTAGGTTTAGAACTTAACTAGCTTACTATAGTTATTAATATAACTTAATA